TGTTCATTTGTATCTGAAGTTGTACCCATGGATGTATAAAGAAGAGTTCTACCGCAAAGTTATTCTCTGTGGGGATTTCCGGCAACAATCTTGATTCTGATTGGCCAGAATACTCGAAAAAACATCAGCAAAGATATTTTATTGAGAAGATGATCACTACGTGACAGAAGTTTTCTAAACCGTTTATGGTCTCCGGTAATTCCAGTCCAACGCCGACTACATGCACAGCGTTAGAAAATCGGGCCTTCAAAATAAAAGTTTGACTTTTTCCCCCCCCAAAAAACGAAAAAAAAATTCCAATCTTTTTTTTTTTTTTTTTGTTCTTCACTCACACATCCGCGACCCACTCGAAACGCGAAAAATGGGTCGCGACCCACCAGTTGAGAACCACTGAGCTAAATGACATTTATCATATGATATATCTAGGCTTCTGCAGGTGCTAAACACCTAACTGTACTGTATTTCTACTGTGTTGATGACTAGGACAGAATCATTCTTAGAAATAATTTAATATTTTGGGACGTATGCTTATTTGCATTAGACGAGAAGATTTAAAAGACTTAAAAGTCTGTATGCTAAATTTGAAGCTATAGTTAGCAAACGATTAGCTCAGTTTAGCATTAAAGAAACAGCTAGCCAAACAATATCTGCCTTTTAGCACCTCTAAATCTTAATACTACTGACTCACTGCAAACCTGTTTGTTCTTATTGTTTGTCTCAGAACAACATACAACAAGATGCAACATGTTCATGAGTGTCAAAGTCAACCGTCTTCTTTTGTTTTTTGGAGAGCTACGTTGCTTCTTTTGGGTTCGTCTCTGAAAACAAGTTGCTAGAGTTGGCACACCTGTGCTATTAATCTTCTCGTCTAACTTTTGGCGAGAATGTGACTAAACTTATCTCATAAAACTATTTTTACTTTTTGGCAATTGTATCCATTAATTTGATAGTAATAGTGAAAAGAGAAAGGAACTGTAAGGGAATGACGTGAAGCAAATCTAGCAACCCTGAATTCTTAGACACTGGTCACAGAACTAGTACTTTTATAAAGGATAAATTATCTAAAAAAGGTGATAGATCACTAATAGATAGAGGTTGTTGGAAGGGTAGCCCAGATGCAGTGCTTTACCAAAAACAGCTGTTTGTTTGTGCAGAGGCCTTCAAAGGCAAAGGTTAATAAGCAAAAAGTGTGTTTAATCCATGTCAGTAGTCCCAACCACTCACATGATGTTATGATACTGACTGAACCCTCTGCCTCCAAACAGAAAAAGATCAACAAGCATTGAAAAGCTAAACAATTCACCTGGCAGAAAAAACACTTTTGTACCCTCTGCCTCTGGCCCCACCAGTGGCAGCACGCTCAAGCTGCCAAACATCACTTTTGCAGGAACATACCAAAAGGTGTTTTTGCAAAAAAGGGCACAGAGATTTTACAACTAAATTACAGTAATTTTCAGACGCTCCCTTAGCTCTCCATGACTCTTAATGACAGGTTTAAACCCAGAGCTTCCACTTGTTGGTCACGTTAAAGTGTCACTTAGTTTGATGAGTGGTCTATTTAGACAACCGGTAATCAATATACAAAAACACAGTGAGTATAAACTCCTGTCTGGATGAAAGCTCCTCAGGAAAATTCATTAGGTGGCTCTTCTGCAGAGAGACCTTGGCAGTAAAGGTGCAGGTTCAGAGAGCCTGGATTTTACTGGCCGGCGAGGTGTAAACACACTTTGTTATGACATATGAGAAGAGTCTTCCCGGGACAGTATTCCAAGCTCTCGGATATAAATTCCCACTGAAGAGTGTTGACAACACACCACTTAACCGGAGACCTCTCACTTACTAGCAGTAAGCTGTACACACAAACACACGCACACATATAACATGACAACGTCCTGCTTAGCTGAGTGACAGCTAATTTTACACTGTAGAGAAATACATACATTTGATCTTTTACGACTGTCAAAATATCTACTTTTCACAAAAATATTAGAGTCTCTTTATGCCAAGAATGTATCAAATGTGTAAATGCTATGTTTATAGTTTCTTTACTTAAGTGTATTAAAGTGTTTTCTAATTTATTCTGTATATTGTCGCATTGTGTAATCCATAGATATACATCTTTCTTTTGAAATATGTATTTAATATGCAATGCCTTTTTTAACACAAGTGTGCACAAACTCCCAATTTATGATGATTAAAGTAAATCTAAATTTAAATTAACTCCAACCCGGACACAAATGCGTCACTCCTCATTTTAATTGTGCTCTTTATTCAGGAGGGAAGCTGTATGGAAATGTTTTTTTACCTGAATCAAAGTAGGCTGGGCTGAAACAATGACTCACTCACTAACTCATGTATGTGGAAACATATATAGAGACTTGTACTCTGTCAGTTTGAAAAGCCCTGAGGCACTCCCTTTTTAGGCCAGATTAAATATATCCCAGCCAATCCCTGTTTGTAGTGCGTGGAAACAGTCCTCTCAGCTCTTTTCTGTTTAAATCTCTGTTAACACCTGCAGGACCCACCTTTTATTTAACTACCTCATCATAGATATGCAACTTTATTACTATAATGAAACAAATATGCATGATTAGAAAAGACATGGGTCGGACAGGGATGAAGTAAGTTTGAGATTTGACCCTTAACAATGAGATGTTAAGCCTGTAAATCAATAAGTGGGCAGAGTAGACCTTTGAACACTTTAAACGTGCTTCCTTTAATCTGTAAAACCTGTAACGTTGCCTGCATGAAACTCAACAGAAGGTCTCTTTAAAGTCAAAACTCTGACGCATGATTGAATTGACAGGTGTAAGATTGTTTATTAAATGTTTAAAATGTAAGTAGAAAATCATGAAAAATGCAAAATGAACCCTTGACAATTTGTACGGTTTATGGGGAAGTTATAGCCATTTCCACATTATTGCATTTCCGCGTTATACTTGGAACTGAGCTCGCTGTGGCTGATTTAAAGGGGGAGATATGAGCCATGTGAGGGTGACAATAATGTCCATTTAAAGCCAACTTGACAGCATGAATGAGGAGGAGGAAGCGAACACTTGAAAAAAAAAAAAAACAGGAGTTGATGCAACTGAGAGTAGGGGAAGGGGAAGTGGTGAGGGAGGAAGAGAACAAGTTGCGGCTCTAAATGGCACTGAAAACCGGCCATTGTATTAACATGTAAGATTGTCTTTTGGGAGCACAAAATGAATAAAAGTGTGCTCCAGATGTTATATATTAAGCAGAAGGTTGAGTGGGGGGAGAGAAATGATAAAAGATAATCAAAGCTGTGAAAAAAGGGAAAAAGGCAGAGGCATAATTCAAGATGATATGTTCCCATGTGTGGAGACTTAATAAATTGCACTAAATCAGGAATGGACATTTTACTAGCTTGCAGGCCCATGGCTAAAATCTGAGATTGTGTCACATGGGCCTCATTAGTCATGATGTGAATGGAGCAGAGGTTGACATTTTTTTTAAAAGTCCACCCTTACGCCAATGCAGTAAACCAGGAAGTGGATAAAGCATGGGTTTGTGGCTGTGCTTTATTTGATAGAGGAGAATAAAAGCTGGTTTATTTGATTGATTAAACTGGAAGACAGGAAGTCCTGGTGGTCTTTAAAATGACATGTAATGATTAAACAATGCCAAAAACAGCAATCGAAAACATCTACTTTAACTAGGAATGCCTTTTTTTTTTTATTATCACATGATATATCGTCTGAAAGCCGTTATTTAACTATCTTTTTGTCATCTAATTCACTGCAAGCTGCATTACAATCTGAGACTGCTAACACATCCCAGCATTTCCTGACATGACACACCTTTTTACACTATTGAATACCAAGCAGAGAGCGAGAGCAGCCACTGGCAGGATATTAAGGAGGAGCCCTAGAACATTTAATGCCACAATGCACAAATACTTGATCAATAAGTGACCATTATCAGCAGCAGTATGGGGAAAGGGTGTGTGGCTGACAAAGAGAGGTCTTTCCCCAGCAGATCAGTGTGTTATGTGTGTCATGTGTTTGACCCAGTAATGCAGGGACTCTGAATCTTACACAGCGTGGACAGCAATATCAGACTCCCAACACTATTTGTATTGTCTCAAATAATAATAAATATATTTAAAAAATAGTTGTGAAAGAGGGCAGATAGGAAGAATTTGTCTGCACAGGGAGGAGTCCTTGACTCTTTTTATTGTCATATAACTTGGCCATGTGCCAGACAGATATTTAACCCTCCTGTCGTGTTGGGGTCGAATCTGTCCGATTTAATACTTTCACCAATCATAAATATTGTGTTTTACATTTGATTGCCATTAGCTCTAATGATATCCTCCACAGTAGGCATTTAATATGAAACTGCTTATCATTACTTGAATTTTGAGGGGTTTAGTCAACTTTGTAACACCTATGGTGGCAAAAATGACCTCCATAGGAAATAAATGAGTAACCCTAAGATTATGTTCACCCATCAGATAGTACACACCCACTACTCGACAACCATGTTCATTTTGGAGTGCATTTTCCGTGTCTTTTCAGCAGTTATTCATGTAAACCAGTAGTCTGAGTCACTGTTTACAACTCAAAAGGGTGTTAAATCACATTTGGTAATGATTAATGATTTTTGTGTTAATGTAAGGGCAGTTCAAACACACCGTTCAAATTTGACCCCAAAGTAAGGGGGGAGAAGCGAACACAACATGAGGGTTAAGCAGATATTTTCCACCCTTGTAAAAGTTTATACATCATTTAACCTGCATATAAAACAGTATATCAAGAGATTAGGGCTTTACTAGGCCTCACAGCATCAATCCCTTCCCTTTTTATTTCTCCAATCCTTTTGCTGTTATCGCCTCCCCTCTCTCTCCAGTGCACCACAGTGTGAGCTACGCGACGTGCCCTAGTGAGTGACGCCGGACCAATCAGAGGCCGCCATTCCGAAAGTTTACCTTATATGGCTTGAGCCGGGCAACTGACGCAGTATAAAAACCCGCACCCTCAGTTAACGGATTCACTCTGAGCGCCGTCACACACTTGTGCGGGATATCATTTGCCTGAAACCCGGTTCCCTTAAAGCGAAAAGCCCCCCCACCCAAAAAGGTAAGAGACTGAAACATTACTTCCATATTAATACTTTTTAAAACTTGTATTTAAAGAAAGATGGCATTGTTTTTTAACGCAATTGTTTGAAATGTGTCATTTTGAATGGTGGAAAAATGGCAGGCACCACGAGGTCTTTGTCCTGTCATGCACCAACTGTACTGCTAATTAAACTTAATGATTTAAAAAAGTTATATTAAAAGACATCTACATTTTTGCATGGCTGAGAATACGCAGTAGCGATTGCCACACACCGCGGACTCGTGGTTCTCGCAGGTGCTTTATGGGTGAAGCCGGTTTTATGTTACCTTGGGAGTTAATTGTGGTTTCACAGTGTAATTGAGTTTCTTTTGTATTCCTGTTGGCTGGCTTACTTTAACATTTCCCAGCTTTGAAAAAGGGGGTTTGAGTTGAGGGTCGTCTGGATCCCGGCTGCTCCCTTTGTGCGCCTGATGCGGCGGGGTGTGACCTACTTTAGCATAGTAGCATAGCCACATCATGCTATCACCGCCCTTCAGACTTACAACTGTTGCCATTTTAAAACTTTGAGATAAAACTATTTTTTCCTTGGACACTTTGCTTCCACTTCCTGGGCGTGTAGCAATCCACTTTACTGTCGTTGTATTGAGGCTTCCTCTTAATGGAGGCCAATAATTTTGGGCCTTGCAAGAAAAAGGGCATTCACTGATTAATTGATTGGTTGTATAGTCTTATTACGCAAGTAGTTCATGTCCTGCCAACTTGCACATGAGAAAAAGAGGAACTGGGGATGACAAATCATGCACAGTTAAAAAGGCGTGGCCTTCATGAAATGCAGTCATTCATGAGTCAACATATGAGTTCATTATTAAACTTGAGATTTTTTTTTTTACTGCCAATTAAAAACGGTTGAGTGAAAAATGTAGACTTTACAGTACGCAGTCGTGTCAGATGGGCACTGAGTATGACGCAGTGAATCAAATATATTCTGGTGGCCATTAAAACTACTTTTAATTAAGCAACAATGGGAGGGGGGGGGCGGAATTTAAACTGTAGTGAACCGGTAGGGAGTGGTCGCTCGGCCCCGGGTCTCATAATGTCGAATGTTCCTTTTTTCTTGCCGTACTCTCTGGCTGCCTGCCATGGCGCCGGTAGCCGCAAAGCTGCTCAAAACCGAGCCATGTCCTTATATGGTAATACCAGAATGCAGAGCCACTTCCTTTTGTCTGGCGCTCGGAATGTGGCGCACGGGCTCCACCTAGTGGCAAATATAGTTAACTCTAACTAGTTTGTAACAGGAAGTGAGTGTCAGGAAGCGGAAGTGAGACTTGTGACTGTTTTTTTTTTCCTCAAGAAAACGTATGAACATTACTAATACACAAACGTTGAGATCAGGGGTACACATATAAAGTAAAACTCAAATAATAGGTGATATTTTAAATATATTTGTCAATTACAGTTAGTTTTGGTTCTTAATACTACTGTTTTTAATAGTAGTGCCATATTGCAATTGATACTTAACCGTTTCTTCTTCCTCAACAGTTCAGCCATGGAAGATGAAATCGCCGCACTGGTTGTTGACAACGGATCCGGTATGTGCAAAGCCGGATTCGCCGGAGACGACGCTCCTCGTGCTGTCTTCCCTTCCATCGTAGGCCGCCCCAGGCATCAGGTGAGGCATTGAGCTCCAAAAGAATAGAGAGGAAATGTAGACTTGATAAGCATTTGCATATGAGATTTATAACCAGCCAGTCAATCATTACACAAGATGATCCTTTATCAGTCCCTATAGGGGAAATTCATGTGTTGCAGTAAAGACCTAAATAAGTACAAATATAGAAGTAAACAGACATGCAAAGCAATACATCGCATGTATTTATGTGCCTGTGTTACCGTTTAACTGGTGGCGCGGGGAACTCGTGATTTTCTATAACGGTACGAATGTGTCAGGGGCGTTTACTTTGAGGAGCCATTGCCGATTAACCAGGAAATCCGCATTTCGATCGCTTCCTCTGTCGTTTACATTTTTCTCTTTTGCTATATTTGGCTGGATAGGAACACTTTGATGCACATTCAGTACCAGTGTGTGAGGTTGTGGTTGCGATGCCGATATCCGGACGCGTACAGCGAGGACTACAAAATGACAATGAGGTCACTGGGGGATGTCTGTTCAAAACATTGCACGCTTGAATAACTCATTTAAACCAGTTATTTTTGCCAGACTTATTACTGAATATCGTTATTAATGTGATGCCAAGTCCATCTGAGACCTGTGTACACCTTCAGACGGCCTACAAGCAGTGGTGTAGTGGGGATTTTTTTTACTGGGTGGACGGGGCGGGGGTGGTGGGCAGTAGCGTGGCGTGGGAAAACAATTAGGGGAAGCCAATAATACGTCCTTTTTTTGGGGGGTGGTCAATGTAACGCTCTAACCAGATGAGTGATTACAGCGCTCGGTATCATTTTACACACATTTGTACCATACAGATGCAGGACTTACACACGCCTGTTATCTAACCGACATGTCCGCACGCACTCTCCAGCCGCAACTCTAATAAGCATTAAGTCACAAACTAAATCAGGAGACCTTTAACGTTTTACGTCCGATTCGCTCCTTTTTTCCTCGCTGTACACAGCTCCACTTTGGGCATTGGCCTGTCATCAGATTGTATTTGTTGTTGTAGCGGAAGTTTAGTACAATTATTTTTGATTAAATACTCAAAATCTCCACCCTCCATAATTGCACTTGCTTCAGTTGCTTGCTACTTTCTAACGGCGGTGAGAGTAGTGAGGTGGCGCTATCTATCTTTTATGATTCGAAAATTATAAAAGTAGAGTAGACATGTGGATATTATCAGGCTGAACAAAACGTGCATTTATCAAACAGGTTAGTTTTCCACTGACCTTATTTCAAGCTATTTTCCAAAGTCCTATGGAGAAATCCCATTGCTTTTTGTCGAGGGAAACCGAGCGCAGCTTTCTTCCGGGTTTTAGGACGCGTCACAGCAACACTAAGTTGATGCGATTTGATTGGATTGTGAGGCAAGGGAAGCCAGCCGCCTCTGGCTTCCCTTGGCATGGCCCTGACCAATCACAGGTTGGCAGGGGCATGACGTGAGCCTTGTCTGATTGTTCAATCCCTCCATTTTTTTCATCAAGGGAAGCCAATTTCGGCTGGCCTCCTCTCGCAACAGAGAGTGCAATCTACTGTTTCACCATAACATCTAGAGAGGTGCTGTTTCACTCTTTGTAAAATACTCAATGAGAATGGGGGAGAGATGGGCCGGCAGAATAATTACCGAAAATAACTAAACAAAGTGTTTTTATTTATTTATTAAAATTATAACTACAATCCGAAAAAACAGGTGAAGCCTGGCTTCCCTTGGCCTCCAGGAGAAAACGCCACTGCTGGTGGGAGGGACTATTCACAGGGAAACGACGCAAGTGAGGGACGCAAGGAATCCATTTAACCGAAGTGAGACCCTTCTCACTTCGGTTAAATGGATTCCTTGCGTCCCTCACTTGCGTCGTTTCCCTGTGAATAGTCCCTCCCACCAGCAGTGGCGTTTTCTCCTGGAGGCCAAGNATGAATGAGAAAAGTAATAGCCTGCAATTCCCGACCGAGCTGAACGTTTTGATGTTTGAATGGAGTTTCTGCGATGTGGAATGTGGGAGGAGAAGAGGGCCAAAATCCCGGCGGAATAATAATAAACTTTTCGTCCTTAGAATAACATTGGAATGCTGTTATCAGCATTCCCACTAAATAACAGATAGTTGGAACGCTGCATTCCAACTAAAATAGTGGCTCTGCAGCAGGTATACTCGACATTGAGAAACGGCCTCTGTCATTTAAGATATTCAATTACCAAGTACTAATCCCTTAAATAGTTTAAATAGACCTAAACAACTGACACTGTTTGGTTAGAGTCTGAAGCAATGTGACACTTTTTGTACATGTTGACACACATTTTATGTTCCGTCATTTAGGATTTTATGCTTCATCATTTGCTGGCGTTTGAAAAGACATTTGCATTCGAGTTAAGTCATATAACATTTAGTTTTTAGGCATGAGTTTGCACTAACTTCCTTAAAGAAAATGTGTGTTTCTGTAGTTTGGGTTTAACTCAATTCTAATTATTTTTGACTGGAATTGAACTAGCAATAAGATTTGATGAAGATTGAAATGATCATGGGGTTATTTTCTGTACTAGACAGGTTTTTTTTGCAGCTCCACAAAAAAACACATGTTCTTATATTTAGCCTTTACCAAATATTCTCCTTACTGTAAGTTGATTACATTTGTCCATATTCTCTTAAAAATGCCTAAAAAGGTGATCCGACCACTTTGAGTTTGACACATGGTTCTATAGACTGAAAAATCTGGATTTTCAAGGGTTAAGGATTCAAAGTAATCTATATTATAGAGATTTTAGGTTAGTCGATATACTTTTAATCATTGAAATTAGCCTGTGTCTTGACTGGAATTCTGCCATTTAACAAGTAAATGACCTGTATTAAAGGCCATTTTAAAGTCTTTATTTCACTAGTTTAAAAATGTGCTAGAACCTTTACTGCTGCATTAATGACGATAGAACATTTTTAATATCTGGTTCATCTTCCTACAACATGTGTTTATATACCTCTGATTTTCCTGCAAGAACCATCTTGTGTGCCTTTCAAATGTTCTTTTAGCTTTTCAATAACAGTTGGCAGTCACATTCACCTTGAAATAAACTCATTTAATGGAAGACAAGAGTCAGACGTCATGTCGGAACACATGTGCACTTTATTGGGATTGTTTAGTCAGTGTACAGGTTGGCCCCACTGGTCTGGCACCCCATGTTACCCCATCACTGAGAGACCCCTTTGCCCCACCACCCCAGGGAATGAAACCTCCATCAGGGGGAAGAGGTCACGACTGGGTTTTGCATAACAAAAACAAAAAAAATTAAACAGGACCAAGATATTTTTAAGGCTGAAAGTACAAAAAACCCAGACATAATTTACATACAAGCGATACTACAACCATGTTTAAGTATGCGCCAACCACTGGGCAGCCTTCACAGAGGCGAATACGTGTCTGAACAATGCAGTTAACATTTGGAATCATGTGTCTGAACAATGCAGTTAACAAACATTTGGAATGACTCAAAAGAAAAAAACAAAAATGTACATTTTTTTTTTAAGTCCCCAGATGCAACTGCAGAACCCTGGGGTGATTTTTTTTTAACCTAGCCAAAACATTACTGTCTCCTTCATCGTTCCAGTTTAAAATCCTGAGTCAAGCGCCAAAATAACTGAAGCCATGCCAATGAGTTGGTCGTCTAGGCTCTGCGCCTGAGTGTGTATGAGAAATGTGTGTGTGGTTGTTTTGCACAGAGCTGAAGTTGTTGGGCGTCTGGTTGGGGAGGGGGAAGGAGGAACAGTCTGTTTTTTTAGAAGCATTTGCGGTGGACGATGGAGGGGCCGGACTCATCATACTCCTGCTTGCTGATCCACATCTGCTGGAAGGTGGACAGAGAGGCCAGGATGGAGCCTCCGATCCAGACAGAGTATTTACGCTCTGGTGGGGCAATGATCTGCAGAGAGACAAGGGGAAGATGCATGAGACACCATTTCTTTTTGCATTCATCTGACTCAAATAGAGCAGTATGTTACTCTGCTGGCTGGGCAGAGGCTCAGCTCACCTTGATCTTCATGGTGGATGGGGCCAGGGCGGTGATCTCCTTCTGCATCCTGTCAGCAATGCCGGGGTACATGGTGGTACCTCCGGACAGCACGGTGTTGGCGTACAGATCCTTACGGATATCGACGTCACACTTCATGATGCTGTTGTAGGTGGTCTCGTGGATTCCGCAAGACTCCATACCTGAGGGCAGAATCAAAACACTGGTTAGCAAGTGTAGCTGCAGGATAACTAGAAGGGGTTTTTCTTTATTTTTAGGGATGTAGTGCAGGTTATGTTAAGTTGGTGACTCACCGAGGAAGGATGGCTGGAAGATAGCCTCTGGGCAACGGAACCTCTCGTTTCCGATGGTGATGACCTGACCGTCGGGAAGCTCGTAGCTCTTCTCCAGGGAGGAGGAGGAGGCAGCGGTGCCCATCTCCTGCTCGAAGTCCAGGGCGACGTAGCAAAGCTTCTCCTTGATGTCACGCACGATTTCCCTCTCAGCTGTGGTGGTGAAGGAGTAGCCACGCTCTGTCAGGATCTTCATGAGGTAGTCTGTGAGGTCGCGGCCAGCCAAATCCAGACGGAGGATGGCGTGGGGCAGGGCGTAACCCTCATAGATGGGCCTGTGTGGGTCACACCATCACCGGAATCCATGACGATACCAGTGGTACGACCAGAGGCGTACAGGGACACTGCACAGCCTGATGGCAAACGTACAATGCGGGGGGTGTGAAGGTCTCGTAACAAGATCTGTAGAATGAAAAGAGAAACATGTTAATAATATCAACACAATAAAAAGTACTTAAACTTCTGTGGCTACTGCACTCCCATGTACATATTGATTGTGTGATGGCTAAATTAAAGGTTATAGAGAAAACAAAGTGCAGAAAGTCATCATTCCTTCACACTTGTGCATGTCAGATGTTAAAGTAGTGCGATTTAATAACTCGCTAACACAAGTGCAGAATAAGGCCCACAGTCAGAGAGACTGTTGATGATAG